GGTTATTTAAATATTATGTGCGAGCGTGTGTGCGCATAAGCATTAAGGTGCAGCCACAATAAAAGGAATAAGGAATAACGATTCCAATCTATCAGAAACAATTTATTTCGATATATCCGAAATATCTAGGATAGGTTGAAACCTTTATTCTTTATTCCTTCTATTATGGCTGCACCTTAATCCTTATAAGAAGAGTTTGGCGATTCGAACGCCGTTTACCGAGCACCACGAATACTATTTCAGAATTCTGATTTTGGTCGCATTTTCTGAAAGCATAATTCGATTTCTGCTCTGGTCGATCTCTTAATTCTTCATGAGAATCAATAACCAAAAATTTTTCGCAAATAAAAATGGATTTATATGGAAAAGACAAGGGCAATATCAGTTTACCACAACGTCTTCAGTCCATCAATGAAACCAAACAGAAAACTGTTATTGTAAACACGCAAAAATGTTTTTACGACTTAAAAATTGCTGAAATTAATAAAAGAATTCAAGGGTATTTACAAAAAAACATTTTTATTATTTGATATTTTATGTGTGTGTGTGTGTGTGTGTGTGTGTGTGTGTGTGTGTGTGTGTGTGTGTGTGTGCGCGCGCGCGCGCGCGTGTGTATCACGTGTGTGCATATGTATAGCATTGTATAATTCTAATAATTTAATGTATAGTTATTTAATATAAGTGAACAGCAAATAGTATAGAAGAAAAAATGATAATTTAATTAAAAATTATTCTAATAACTGTTGTATTATTTTACATATCCAAAATTCTACAATATCAGTAACTACACTTATTTTTAGTATTAAATTAAAAATTTTTTAAATAGTTTAGAAGAACGGAATAGAGAATTGGAGAATAATGTAGAAGATATGCATTATTTCATTAAAACTTTACAAGAAGAAAAAATACAAGAAATAAACAGTTTAAAATCACAAATAGCTTCTTACATTGCCACAATAAAAGCATATAAGCATCAATTGACTACTCTCGAAAAAATAAGGATTGATGATAAAAACACTCACATTGCAATAACTGTAAACATTGATGAAAAATATAAAAATACGCGAACTACGCTCATTTCGCAAATTAAACTTTTGAGTAATTCTATTTTATTATATATTGGGTTATCCGGAAAGTTCGTGCTGACTAACCTATATAATTTAATAAATGTATACTAAAATTTAAATCTGCGTTTCAATTTTTCTTCAACATCGGCACGAACTTTCCGGACAACCCAATAGTATCTTGTATGATTATATGGTTCGATAAAAAAAAATTAAAACGAGACTATAGTCATTTTCTATAGTTTTTGGACTCTGACGAGATACTATTAAAGACAATCGATTCTTATGGAAATTCAAGTGACTATTAAAATTTAAAATTTAATCATTTAGAGTAAGAAACTGATAATATTACTAATTCCGTGATTTATTAGCTTCATAAACATGTATATATGTTTAAAACTCAATTTAATATACTATTATAATACTCGATTTTTATTAAAAACTGTGATTTTAATGTTATCACATACTTAGAAGTTTAATTATCAATAGAGATGATAATTTCAGAGAAAAAAATTGTAATTTTTTGACAATATACAAGATATTATAATATTAAAAGAATACTTCTTTACTTATATAATAAAAAAAGATCACGAATTTAATAATGTATTCTCTAAATATTTATGTTAATCATCATAAATTTTTATTAATTGTCGATAATCATCGTTCTTCAATCCCCGGGCCTCTGGGACTCCATTGATAAATTTGCCCAGGATCGATTGTCTTTAAATTAAAGTATCTTGTTGATGCAGATACCCATGTAACTTTTGATGGCATTTATTTAGAATATTTTAATTTTTATGTTAAGGTGCCAAAACTAATATTTTAGAAGATTACAAATCCATACAACATATTCTGGAAAAAAAACTCGATACGAGAAATCAGTTCTTAATTAATGAAAAAGAACAGGTAGCAAAAAACTTGGATAAAATTGAATATAACTTCAAGATTGACAGAGAAAGGTAAATAAATTTTGTTTCCTTATTGCAAAATTAGGAAAATTATAGGAAAATTATGTAAATATCTTATTTAACTAATGTATCCTGTATAGATTCAAAAAGGAATTATATAATCGTATGTTGGATTTAGTTAGTATATTTCAAATTGAAGTATTAAATCATATGCCGTGTTCAATACCCAATTTATTGTCGGAAAATATAGCTATAAATAATCAGTTGTCAATGATCATGGAAAACGCAGCTTCTAAAACACAAGACAACAGCTTGCTCTCGTAAATTAATTTATATTTTTATTATATATATATATATGGAGTATGTCCCATTTGAAATTTAATTCGGACACAATTATCTCTCAAATTGTTCGTTATTCCAAAAAAGTGTTTCAAGTGGAATTTATTTTCGAGGAGAACATCTTTTGATCACAGATTTTTTCTAGGTAGACTTCAAGATTTCAAAGTAACTTTTATTTTTTTTAATATAATTTTTAATA